GATCGGAACGAACCCCCGTCCACTCAGGTGGGCTGAGACGCTGAGGAATCCATGTGTAAGGTGGTGTGCATCCTGGGCTTTTTCTGCCAAACAAATGACAGCTGGTGCTCTGCGACAAGTGAACTGTACATTGAATATGTCAGGCTCCCGAAACCCCAAAACCATTCAAGCCATCATGCCCTTGTAAGTATCATCAACTCCACAGTATCCCGGGCGGGAAATCTGCGGTGATCGGGTTTCAGAAATACCAGACGGCGTATTTCGTCGAGTCCTTTACCAACGAATGACTGGAGAGTGGGCCAACCAGGAGCGTTCCGATTGAGTGCGATGAGGCGGGCGAGGATGACCCTTTCACGCCCAAAATTTCTAGAGCAAAATATTGTTGGGTTGTAGCAAAATGAAGTGTAGGGAACTGAACTCGCTCTGCCAGGCTGCATCGTCGCATCGGCCGCTAATGGCTGAAGCCTACCTTATCTTTCGGCAGGTCGCGCGATGGCCCGCGTTCGGCTGTAGGAGCCAAACAGAACCCGTTGCACTCGATCCGTTCCTCTCGTCAAGGGCGTTGCATAATCATACTCTTTTGCATGGCTCATGAATAGGTGCCTAGGGAAAGAAAAGGTAAGCTTCAGTACGGAGTAGGCCTCGGTGTGGTGTCTGATTCAATAGTGCAAGGTGCCCAAACTGAGCCGGAAGAAGCAATTCCTGGCCAAAGACGCCAAGGCTGGAAGAAGAATAGCTGGATTCCGATGATGCCCAGAGGAAAGTTCAGACAGATACCACGCCATTCGCCATCGAATACTTTCTGGTCATTTTCCAGAGTCAAGCGACCGAGCGATGTCGCAAATCTTTAATGTCCTTTGCCTTGTTCCGAGATAGCCAATTTGCGACTGTTGTGAGATTCTCGAAAGGGTGGGCCCCAATTTGCGTGCACCGGTGATCACCTCGTCCAAGGATCACTGTGTGACGGCGTAAATCTACTTGCCAACTTGAATGATCGTTAGTAATTTCATACTGTGCCAGTGTGTGTTTCGTCATGAAGGGAAAATCCCTTTTTCTGAGCTTAGTGAATTAATTGATAGAGTCGTCAGTTGTTAAACTTGGTTGCTGCTGACGACTACTTGAGAGACAATTCCCATGCCTCCACACCGTTAGCGATAATCAGCGAGCTGTTGGCCGAACTTCAACAGTACAACTCGACAGATTAATCGGCGGATCATGTTCGCAGCAAGGCCATGTCCTTGGCGGAACTCTTTTCGTTAACAAATGTTCTCGTTGGCTGACACTATCGTAATGATGCGCGTTCGTCGTTAACCTTGTCTTCAGCTCTCGGCGGGCTCTGTTTCTTTGGTTTGATCATGCCCGTTTGGCCCACTGCTCTGCAAGCTTCCGGCGAATATCATGGCAATGGACGATGATGGGCCGGTCAGCAGGCTCGCTCCTCAGTAAGCCCGGGGATAATGGGCCAGGGCACCCATTCTGCACCACTAAGATGCCGCCCGGGTACCCTCTCCTGAGTCTTGACCTTTTGTCTGGGCCCGTGTTGCTTCCAGGCCGCGTGCGGATGGAGCCATGTCCCCCCCCCCCCATGATGCCTGCCAGCACCCCTGCTCTGTCTACCCTGTGCTGGTGTGCCCGCACTTGTAGTCGCTCTTCCGGGCTGGTCGGTGACCCAGAACTGGGACGGGAACTGGCGGTAATCTGACAGCGACAAGGAAAGCTGCTCCTACCCCAAGTCTTGGTGGAGCAGGAGTAGAGTGTGTGGAACCGCGCGGCCGACGTGGAATGGCCCGAAGGCTCCCACGATAACGAGCTCTTGGAAACACTTGCGCCACTGGTACGGGAACGGCTCTGAGCTCACTGTCTTGCTCGCCCGAAATTTCCAGTTGGCTCTGATTCACTTCGAACATGGGCCAATGAGATGCGTTACCAGAAAGCAAGCAGGCTAAACGAAGCATTAGCATTGGCATCACGTTCAAATATAGCCCTGGCCTGCGCCGACTTGCATCATCCCGCCGCGGCTCACCGCATGGTTTTGTTAAGCGTCGAGAAATGGCAGCCCGGCCTGTGTATCATTCCGCACTTCGAAGCAATCTCCTCGGGATTGGAATCTCTGCTATTTTGCCGGGCAGACACGAAATCTGGATAGGACCGGGACGGCATATCTGGCGGACCTGCTGGCCGAGTTGCTGCTACGAACTTTCGCTCTCCGCTCACCACCCTTCTCCTCGTCCTACTCGACCGTTGTGCTAAGCTTGGCGGCAAGTCGCGAAACGAATTGAAGAGATGGCTATGTCGATTGCGAACGACCATAAAGAAGACGGCGAGTCGCGATAGTTGTGGCTCGATGTTCCCAAAAGGAATTTTGCCGTGCCTCGTGGTTGCGCACAGTGGCATTGGATGTTTGGGGGCTAGCGAGTGAGTCCACCAGTGTCCCGTCCCATCACATCCGAGCCAACCCACAGGTGATCCCCTGCTGTTCCGTCACAGTTGGTGTGGTTGGTGAAGTTGAAGTCAAAGGCGGTCGGGATACCCTGTCTGTTTGTCCATGTGTCTGAACAGATGAAATCGATGCGACGCTAAAGTGTGTAAAGTGTGTGACGGTGTGACCTGATGCATGATACACAGCGGGGTTGAAGCCTTGAAGGGGTGATACGTGAAGCAGATGGGACGGGCGGGAACTCCCACAGCGATGCCATGTGCTTGTGGCCAGCCATGCACCATGTCGGCCGAGAGCGCGTCAACGGTTTTGGCACTTGGCTTTGGAATACAAGGATCAGCCTGGTCCGTCGGGCTCTGCTGACTTGTGATGTTTTGACGATATTATAGCCACGATAGAGGGCGGGGCGGGGCATGGCGCCAGCAAGCGAGCGAAATTGGCCAAGTCCACGACACTTATTCATTGCCAATCGAGAAGGCAAGCAACAACTCTTCGGTGCTGAGGTGAGATGAGTTTTGGCGGACAGATATCGTCGTAGTGGAAGAGAAGGTGTTGACATTGGAAAGGAATGCGAGATATGAGTTCTCCATGACACATGCGCAAGGTGAGGTATCTGTAGACTGAGTCGGAGGAGAAGTAAGTCAGGCACCTTGGCAGACTCGGACAAAAAAGACCTGGGAAGGTGCTTGCCAGATTTCGGGAAGGGAAGGACCACGACGGACGAGTCGGCGCATGCTCAACGCGCCTTCCTAAGGTACCCGCCTACCTATTCAAACAAAAGAAAAATGAGATACCTAAGGTACTATCCGTTGGAATCTCGCAGCCTTCAAGTTTGGGGCATTTTGGGAACTTGGAGATAATCATCGTCAAATCAAGCAAGCGCGGGCGCATGGCAAGTCGGAGTATTCCGTGGATGGGACAGTGAATGGAAGGCAAGGTAAGGTAAGGTAGGTAGGTAGGCATGCATCCGTAGATACATAGACATTCCTGCCATCCTCGCCTTCCATCCAATCGACTTGGATAGCGATTGCCTTAATTACCACGAAGCATGCGACTCTTTTCCCGCATCGTGAGCTCCTCCCGTCCATCGATTGAGGCGCACAACATGGGAAGGTAGGAGGACAAGGCAAGGCCGTTGGTACCTGCCCAGATACCGGGCGCCGGCGTGACTGGTAGGGTTCCTTCCCACAGCACTGGGTGAGGGCGGGAGCGTCGCGTCGATCGGGGTTCTTTGCCCGTCTTCTTCGGAGCTGGCCCCGTCTTTTCAGCGAATAGGCGATTGGGTAGTGGTGAACTTTGCCTCGGGATCCCTGTTTCCTTTTTTTTTTTTTTTTTTTTTACCCTTCCCTCCTTCCTTTTTTTCCCCCTCCACGCTTTGGTGAGTGAGATCCTTCCCCCCTCCTCTGAGGCTCCTCCTTCTTCTCCTCCCCTCCTCCACATTAGATCACGTCGCTTTAACTTTGTCAGCTTCTTCTCCATCACCGTCCAGGGCTCTCATCGGGCCATCCTCATCGCCGCCCGTTGTGTCCAGTCCCTGTCTCAACGGTTGTTCCAGCCTTCCAGGGAATCCTTCCTCAATTTTGCCTTTCCCACCTCAAGGTCCTGCCCTGCGTCATTGCACCTGGATCGTTGAGCATCGGTATTCTTTTCCCCTCCAACACCATCTCTTTGGAACTTGGCTGCGCGCCATTCCTCCGATCACTCTCCACACTCACTTCGATCAACCTCAGGGCCATACTCCGGACGACGCTTCTTCGTGCCCCTCAATTTCTCCCTCACTCCGCCCCTCTGCCCCTCCGACAAACGCAAAACTACCACGCGGCCGCGATGCCCCAATTCTGGGTCGACCGAAGCAGCCCCGGTACCACCGATGGTTGGGTCTTGTCATTTTACCCCATCTGGAGCTCGGCTGTGACCCATCGACGAGTTATTTGAATGCGAAGCCGACATCCTTGGTCCAACCCGCTGTGACAGGGGGACTCACAAGCTGCACTCTCAATTCCGCTGGTCTGCGGGAGCAAATCGGCGCACGCTCTTCCAATCCTCTTCCACCATCCATTCTCGAGTCCTATGTCCTGACCCATCACTCAGCCTGCCTGCAGACTAGCCGCATCAAAAATGGCTTCCTGCTCCGTACTGGCGGCAACACCCAGCCAGTGCCTGCGCGCCATTCGCCAATCATTCGACACTCCCGTCTACCTACCCTGCCATGCCAGGCCAATGTCATGTCTTGCACCCGTTCCGCCGCTATGATTGTGGCGCAACTGTTCAAACTATCGCCTCCGGCGTCATTCTCTTGACGCGAACCGAGCTGATGGAACGCCGACTATCCGTCCGCCAACTACCGGCTAGCAGACCCGCTAAATACGGTCTGATGTTGGGAAGCCTTCACTCTGGCATGACGGCCGACCGACACGATGCCATTCAGCGCCCCAAACCTGCAGCCCACACACCGCGCACGCCTTCGGATAAATTACCTACCCATTCATCCCATCTGCGCGCAACCAAGCAGTCGGCCAGAGACCAGCAGGCACTAGGCCCGGCGTCCTTAGCCAACCAAGGTACGGATACCAACAGATCTACGATGATCAGACGTGGACAAGTACTGCTCCTCGGTGGGTTTAAGCATACCCTGCAGCGCGCGTGTGCGAAACAGAACATCCGCCCGTGCCGCCCTTCCCCCCCTCACCAATAGAGTCTTATTGCCTGGGCATTGTTTGATCATGGACGATAATGACGAACTCGAAGCAGCCGCGCAACCTATACTACTGGCGGTGCAAACATCGCTGCAAACCATCCCCTATCGGTTCGCGACGTGAGAATGGTGCGACTGCGTTTCCAACCCTGATTCAAGAGAGCGACGCACCGCGTTAATTCGACAAATATTGGTGAAGAACCTGCCTTTGTTCTCCCGCTACCCACCCACACCTACGGGTGATCACTTGACTGATCAACTTGTCCGATGTGCGCCCTGTCGGCTGCCCCAGAGACACAAAGCGATAATGCGACGCCCGTCCACACCCCTACCGGCAACAACAGCAGCAGCAGGATGGATTCGGTCCAGTCCCAGAGGCTTGTGCTGACAGCCCCGTCGTCGGGCCATGGGCGACTAAGGCAGACCCAATCGCCTGTCAGACTTTCTTTTTCCGTTCTTAGCGGTCCATTCTGGCGGGAGGGGCTACCCCCCCAGTTCCACCGGGCTCATGGGTTCTTCTTGGGAGCTTGCCGGTACCCACAGTTCTCGTGTACCCGGTACAAACAGATACTTCGTACCGACTTCATGGGTCGGGCAGAGACAGCCCCGCCCCCCTTTGTCTTGCGCAGCTCTCGACGCACCTTAGATCAAGTAGCGTTGATGAATCGCGCCCGTCAGATCTTTCTATCCGCTGCCTCCAGCACTCCGGTTTCGAATCACTCCATGACAGGCTGCACTGGCTTGAGGGACGGTTCCGACGATGTACCGTCAGGGGATCCTGAGGACTGGCGAGCGAGCGAGCGAGTGGACGAGATTGGGGTTCACTTGGTCCTACCCCTAGTCACGCTAAGGCAAAGGGAACCGGGGGCTTGCGCAAGGACCGGGGGCTGCCGACCATGCAACGCCGCGCCGCCCGCTCCCTAAAGGATACTCCCGTTTCTGCCGTTTTGTTGTACATATCCCGCATATCCATCACCTTCGCCAATACGGATGGCCCTACGGCAATCTATCTCACCGCGACACCAACGCCTTCATGTCTGTGCACCACCTATGGGCAGGTTGCAGAACCACAAAGGGAGGTCTGCTTGATGCAGTAATACGTCCTCTGCTGGGATGCACTTGCATCTGCTCCTAACCCAGTTCGATATCAGCTGCAGCGTCATGTCATTCCTGAGTGGCGCAAGACCAGGTATCTCACCAACACGCATGCTACAACCCTCAGCTTGCCTGTTCGGTCTGGAAATCCGCTTACAGCCAATATTCCAAGAATTTGCCCTGCCTCGCCTGATTTACGGTCCCAGCACGGAACATCATCACGGCGATTTCGGCCTGCAGAAACCGATGACCAGTACCAGACTCACCGTTGACTGAGATAGCAGGGGTTCCACGCCGTCGCATGTAGTATGAACTCCAACACAGGCGATTCAATCGCCAGCCCACGACGGTGGTCTACTGCCTAAGCAGCATTGGCATTACATCAGACACCGCCTCGAAATGTTCCGAGAGGGCTTGGAACTTCCTGTTGTTTAATTCCTCGTCGCTGGTTGTTTAGGCAAGATGTATCGTTTCCTCCAGCATAATTGGGGACAACCTTCCCAGCCCTCCTCCTGGTACGGATGACATTGCTGATCCAGATGCCTCCACAAATTCCGAATTGACCAGTGTCTCGCTAGTATTCTGTATAACTAAGAGCAATTGAAAAAAGAGCTCGACAGCAAATATCTTGCTGACTTTCCTTGCCAGTAGCAAATATTCGCTTCGCTTCAGACGTTTCACGACAAGTCCGTTTGATTGCCGTACCTTTACATCGAAGTGGGCACAGAAATGGACAGGAAAGCTCTAAGTGTGGCTTTAGTACACGATTTTGCCGCATTTGAACGAATCCGCAAAGACACGCATCGGCTCACCGAGAGGATCGAACAACAGCACAGTGACATCGCGCGCGCTGCACAATCAATATCAACGCTAATGTGCGGATTCATAGTATCTGGGACTCAACAAGAGACTGGTCAACCGCGCAGTACATTGCACACTGCTGCGTCCGAGTCTCTCAATTCCGGCTAAACACGATGCTCTCAACTCAATCCGCCTGATACCACGAACTTAGATATTCCATACAGAGACAAAGCTTTATCCACACGTGAAGTGTACAAACCGGCTCACCCATCTCAAGCACGCAATCTGTATCTGTATGCAGGCCGCAGCATTTGGACGATGCTAGGTTTTTCCTGAATTTTTGGTTTTATTTTGCTTACCTGAATTTGCAATTCTCCCAAACCGTATCTGAACCTGATAGTCGCCCACGGGCTGCTAGAGCCTGATCCAAGCGCCATGCTTCATTGCGCTCGTCCATCTCCCGACAGTTACATGGATCTATAATCTTTACCAGGAGCGGTTCTGTTGTCGCTCTTTCCGCGACTTTGCTCAGTCTCACTAGGCGGGGTGAGGCCCGGGCAGCAAGCAAAAAGTGCAAGCAGTTCGCCGCTTTTGAGGAGAGACTGATGGAAAAATATCAGCCGGAAAGTTTTTGAATAGCTCGTTGTGGTAAGATTAGTCTGTGCCGTGGTGAGGCATCCCAAGTGGGACGAGAAGCACCATTTTGAGAGGCGGGCCGGGCCTCGTGGAGCCAAATCGCCCAACTCGCAGTGTCGGGGAAGATGATGGCAGCGCTCGAGGATAGCTTCCGCAGTCTGCACGCCCTGAGATTCGCATGAAAGCGACAGTGTGGCAGGAAATGGTCCCATGTTAGCCACCAGCCCAACTTCGTCGACGCTCGTGCCAGACAAGGTAAGGGAGGCGTGCTGCTAGCTTGTCAGTCCGGTCATCTCGACGGCCTGGTTCACTGTTAGACAACCCATATACGTCCTGCATGTCAGCCAAATGCACGCTTGCCGCCGGCTGGTCCGCGCTCACCCAATGAGTCTACCTCTTTTCCCCCGGGTCTGGCGTTTTGACTTTGCGGTTGGTTGGGCTGACAAGACGTGATGTTGTTGATGGTGCATACCTTTTCCCCAGGCCGGGATCACCTTGAGGTATTGGGCAAAAGGGATTCGTACTTTTTGCAGCGAAGACTCTATCTACATACATTCGAAGCCGTCTCCGGCAAGGACCGGTGGGTAATTATCGCAGCCTGACGATACCCAAGATACCTCAAAAACGGCACGTCAAATCTTTATTAACAGACCCCCAGACAGACCCCCAGACCAACCAGGACAGCCAAGCAGCCAGCCAACCAATCAATTGATGGGCTGACCTTGGGAGTCTTTGAGCCCCGGGTTGGCCTTTTTCTTTTTTTTTTTTTCTCTCTGTCGTTTTTCTTACCCTGTCCATCCAGGCACCTACCTGGCTTCTGGTACCAGTACTTGTCTGGCGAGGAGTAGCATCCAAGCGACTGGGCCGCTATCAACAGGCAATCGTGTTTTAGTGGCGTTGGGGGGGGGGTCTATGATTGTCAAAGGCCATTGGACAGATCGGGGGACATTGAGTTTAGGGACATCACGTGATGGAAAGCGTATGCATGCAGCCGTCGTTCCCGCGACGTTCCCCATTTTTTACCTTCGATTCCCTTGCTCAGGCTCTCCACGGCCCGCCACGACAACCACCCTCGCATTCACGCACTCCTTTTTCAGAGACCTTGACCAGACCAAACCACGCAAACCTCAAATCACTTCACCTCCCACCCCATTGCGTGTGGAACCTCTACCCCTACGGTGCACACTCAACCATTTCAATATCCGTACCTCACATAACCCTCCCCCCTTTCTCCTTACCTTACCTACGACCTTGCCTACCCCTTCATTCCGTCCGAAAAGAAAACCTCGGGGCAAACTCGCTTGGCCGATCGAGCCTCGCCACTTGATCTAGCACCACGGACCTCCTTCGATACAGCACATGGAAAGTTTCCATCCTGGTCCAACTGACCTCCTGGACCTTGACAGCTTTCGCGAGTACCCGGTCCCTGCCCCAGCTTGTTCGGCTTGACTTTTGGACACATTAACGGTGACTAGCCGTGCAATAATGGATGGGGACCATTGTAACCACCCTTTACCCCCCTCTCCGTTCCTTCCAGCGAATGCCGAGTCTTGGGCCCTCACCAGAGGGGTCGGTGGCAAGGCAAGCTACCGACTTGGAGACCAAGGGTGGGATTGGAAGCAAGGGATTTCTGTCCCTGTGCTCTGTGCGCCCCGAGATTAATCAAAGACATTCCCATTATGCGGCGAAAGCATATTACACCTGTAGACACTCAAATGAGCGCCTACGATAGACGCGGCGACGGCGACGGCGACGTGTCATTTGCCTATTCCTTCCTCCCTCAGCATCCGACTGAATCTTGATGGTGCGTGGGGAACAATCCGATCAGCTCTTCTACCGAGACAAGCCGCCCGTTCTAAATTACTTTCAGTGGGGATGGGCGACAAGGAATAATACCCCAAGACTCTGCACAGTTCTCGCTTTCCACCAGGAGACCAGAATGGGAGAAGAAGTGACTTGTCTGCACAGTGCGTACAGATACTTCTGCACATGCTACGACACTGCCGCAGCCCGCCAGCCGGGCAGACCTGGCAAAGGAGCCCAGATCGAATTAGCAGGGAGATTTGACCCGGTCGAGTCAAGCGGCAAAGCCCATGGGGTGGAAATTGCAAACAGCAATAGACTGAGGCTCCGATCGACGGATATCAGACGAAGAAAGAGGGCAAAACCATGGACGAGGGCTGGACGGCAGAATGCGGTGAAAGCTTCATGGTTGAGACGCGTCGTCGAGGAATGAGCTCGAACAGGGCTGTTGCCAGCAAGATTCTGGCCGCCAACCCACCACGGTCGAAAGCTTCGTACAGCCACAACCCTCGCCGGACGTGCTCCCCCCCCCCCCTCTTTGTGCGCCGCCAGGGCTCCTCGCCCAGTTAGCCGTGCTGGCAATTCGAATAGCAGCACGTCAGGCGTGCCAGCCATACCACTGATCGATGGCCCAGGGCCAGGCTACGTGGGCTGGCAGGATGCCAGGAGCTACAACGTCCATGACCATCGCCATGCAGATAGATGCATAGCTGCTGCTTCTGGGTGCCCAGGCACATCAACTGTTTCCCACGGGACCTCGGCCACATGCAGGTTGAGCGGGCGGACAGTGGAGAGTAAGATACCGGCAGCAAGGACCAGGAGACATGGCAGCCCAGAGGCGAAACCATAGGCTAGGATCCATGCCGGATGGACGATTGACGGTTGCTCAACAGACTTCCCGCTGCGCATATAGTCCGTCCCCAACCCTTCCTTGTATCGTCGTCCGGTACGTAAATGAAGCAGACTGGGCCAGCTCCACGTCCAACGGCGGCGATTGTAGTGTATGCTGCGGCACACCATGGCTGAGGTACAGGACGCGCCGCACTAAGGTCGTGCAAGCTAACCAGCCCGTCCGCGGGACGTGTAGTGTATCGAACGGACTGCAATCAGCTTCGGCCCACCAACGATCCGAATGAATACTTTCCCAGCTTTTCCTGGAGCATGACCTTTTCCTGGTTCTGTGTCATACTGTCTCGTTAAAAAGACTGGTCGGCAAGAAGCCTTGTATGAGAGCAGTCGAATCCCTCCAACGGCGGACTGAACACACTCATGGATGGGCACTGATTCGAGGAACGTAGCAGCGTCTCAAGCACGCTACTGCACAAGATTCACATTGCCCACAGAGGACTAGACTGCATATGAGAGTGCTAAGTGAACGGCACACCTGCTACATGAGATGGTGGGGAGAGCTATATGGGGCCCTTGAGCATGGAGGAAAGCAACGAGGATGGGCTGGCTCAGAGGAGGAGGCATATGGATGGTTGGGGCAGGAAAGGCACACTGCACCGCAGCGGCAAAGCAGCGGTGAGCAGAATATCTGACCTGCTCGTTGCGGTTTTGGCACTGACCTATGCTCCGTCCTGGGCGGCTCGGGTCCGTTCATCCCGTACTCGACCCGCCCGTTGTCATTCGCCATCACGTCAATGTGTTGATGTTCAGCCGAGTTTCGGATCGGAGAAGGAAGAGAGAATTCCTTCTTTCTCGGTCGGTCTTCTCGCTGACCTTCACTCTCGATGGTATCCCACTCGATCACGGAATGCAGCTCATGGGCGCAGGCGACGGTTCTGTCATGCGATACCGTGACTGTTGTTGGTCGACAAACGAGGCGGAGATGACCTGTCAGATCTGACAGCTTTGTCGTCGCAAGCCACGCGGCGGCAGCGGCGGCGGCCGGTGGTACAAATGAACTGGGATCCTATGGGAAGAAGATGGGAGCACGTATCAACCAACAACCCATCCGGATACCAAGCACGATTCCGGGATGCACACATCGTGGGCGGCTTCTTTCTGAGAGGTCCCTGACTCTGACTCTTCAAGGTGTGCAATCCATCTCAGCAAGGCAGCCGAAACGGCAAAAAGCAAGCGCTTGGAGAGGGGTCGTGAGGGTTTCTTTTCTTTGGTCTGACTTTCTGACAGTATGGTAGGAGTAGCCGTGAGGGGTTGCTTCTTCTTGCTTCCTTTCCTTCCTTTTCAATTTGGGGGTTTTTTCTGTTGTTTTTTCCCACCATTTTCTCCTCGCATAGTCATACGGGCGACCAGCTCCTCACCCACCATCTTACCTCGTCCCGTCCCCCCGCTTGCTCACCACCCATCGCCAAAAGAAATCGACATGTCTTCCCCCGGCTCGCGTCCGTGGCCGCCGATACCTTGCAGTAGAGTTGCAGACTAACAATAAAAGTTCGCTCCATCCCATCTGAGGTAGCTGTCTATTGGCGATGCATCATGTACAGTACTTTGGTTCTTTTTGGCTCATCTACCTAGGTTCTGGTCACTCACCATCCATCGGCGCCCAGCCCCCAGGCAGCCGGGCATACATACCATGGACCACGTCGCCCTCCCCTTCTTCGACTGGGACATTCACGACGGGCTCCCAAGCTCCTAATCACGCTCTTTCGGGCCAGCTGCATGACAGGTAGCACCCAAGGGGGTGGGCTCGAACCACTAAGACGGCCTCCGAAGATATTCGTGCGACCTTGAGACCTTTGGTGCTGCTGCATGGCCGCTTGGGCCCGTCACCGCCCGCATGGTGCTGCAGTCACAAGCTGCGGACCGATGCGGCCTGCAGCAGGATCGGCGTCGATCCGCTTGTTTTTTTACCACCAAAAAAACCTGTCCACGGCACCTGTCTGTTTCCCAACACCCGGCGGTGGCCCCCCCGTCAGCCCCGGTCGGTCACACACCGTCAAGTCGACCCCGTCACGGTCACGCCCCGTGTTGTCCTCCCCCGGCATTTGTCTCTCGGGCTTCATTCAGAGTTTGTCTTTGCTTTTTCGATCCTTGTTCGGTGGCTGGATACAAATTTTTTTCTTGCGCTGCCGTATCATGTACGGAGCAGGTACTGTGGTATGAACGACCCGTCGGTGCAAGGGAACACATACCTCGTCAGGCATGCTTACGGCCGGTTCTGGGTTGTCACAGCTCTGGTCTCTCTGTGTTGCTTGCAGTGCCGGGTCATGTACCTGTTTGTATGACTCGACGGCGGGCAGGTAACGCTGCTCGGGTTGCGAAGCGATGCGTGTTGGTGTGTGAGTGTGCATGTGTGTGCATGTGTGTGCCCACGCACCATGAACTCACGGAGTACGGAAGAGGAAAATGCTAGTCAAGCCAGGTCCTGCCGTCCAACCTGCCACGCTTGCAGTGGGTATTTCGGACGGGCATCCCATTCCATCCCCCCCTCTCTCTTCCTTGCCGGGCCCGCGGCTGTAACCTGATTTGGGCCCCGGGTGCGTCTTCGCATCCCGCCCGAGGTCGCTTCGGTGGGCTACGAAAGATGCGCCGCAAAAAGGCGGCGGCCCCAGGGTTTCGGCCATGATCCATGGTGGATGCCAATGGATGTACGGCGTGCCATGGCTGTGAGCGCTGACTCCTGACTCCTGGGAGCGAGCCTTGGAAGGGGGAATAACGAGGCAGCCGCAGACGTGCAGGATGACGGTCTCCTTCTTTGCTCCTTCAGAAGGTAAGGAATTCGTAAAGGTAGGGGACTCCAGTTGTCAAGGTTCCACCAAACCCTCCCCCCCCCCCTTTCTCCGGTTCCCCGAGAGACCTGGAGCGCCGCGGCCGCGACCTTCTTGTCAGACGCGGTGCGAGGTAAGGTACCGTTCAAGTTGACTAGGAAGGCAAGGCAAGGCAAAGCCGGGTTGGGATGGGAAGGAAGAGGAAAGGGGGGAACGGGACAGATCTCTATTAGTTCGCCATTCTTCCTTCACCACACTGAGCCCCTTCCCCCTCCGCCCTGGATTCAGGCACTTTGACTGAATTCCTGCCAGAACCGGACGGGGGAGAAGGAATCCACAACGCTGAACCTACCCCGAAATTCTCCACGCCCCCGTGCCATCCCAGTCTCACACATATTTCATCACGTGATGAAGAGGCTGCTGTTAAGCTGTTGAAAGCGGGGGACTTTCCTTGCCTTACCTAAGGCCATGAATCTCAGGTGTCACATTTCCTCGCTGCCCGCCCGTGCCGGGTACGAATACCTACGCTGAGGTCTCCGTACGCAGTACTGCGTACGGATAGGCCCTCTCGTAGCGGTGCCTCCACAATTATCCCATTCCCCGCCCCGGTACTCTTTTTCGTGTGTAGTCCCTTCATCATTCCATTCGGGGACTAAAGTACCTCCCGGCGCCTTTATGTGGACTGGAGACTTTTTTTGGTTTTCCCACCGCCGAGTTTCTTAACCTATCGTGCCTACCTTAGTAGCTAGCACTGGACCCCTTCTTGGCCGGATTATTTCCGCGGACCTGGACCTACCAGTACAGCTACGAAGTGACCGAAAACTCTCCGTGCGAAAAAGGAATAAAAGCAACGTCGAATGGTTGTAGCATCATCGAATTACTGATGATCAAGAAACTCTGACATATTGGTCCTCTATTTTTGCAACGCTTTTGTGAAAGCTGAGTAAGGCACTTGCAGACGACGTATCTTTTTTTTCTATTCTTCTCTTTTCTCCTCCAATCAAAAAGACGAAGAACACCAAAGGAGGGGTTGACAAACGAGAAGAAGACGAAATTTCCGAACCCCAAAGATATCGGTAACCCTGGACATATACCAAGCACCTTACTTTACGGATACACACCGGGACGCCAGCTCGAGATCTGCCCGGGGAAATTACCGCCGACGTTCCGTTCACCGAATATATCCCCGTCGACAACCATGGCTGAGAATGACACTGCCAGCGCCAACAAGGCTTATTTCAAGTACGTACACATTTCACATTTTCACACCCGTTTTATTATAATGTCTTCATAAGGAAGGAAGAACGCAATGACGGGATGATATTGAGTGACTTCCAATATTTGTCTGCTTTCAAACCGTCCCCGGGTTCCTGCAGATGTGCACACATGACAAACACAATCCGCCTCTCGAGACTCTTCACAACTTTTGAGGTGTACTTGCCTCAACCCCTTTTCCCTTTTCCTAAACATCATCTGGACCCTGGTAGAATTACTGGTTCAAATATCTTCCTCCGCCCTTTCCTTTTCGCCTTTCTGAACTGCATTTTCCCATTGAAATTTCGAGCGAATGTAATAAAAATAAAATGGAGAGGCCCATGGAGTTTGACTTACACAAACTAACTCGTTGAGTAGTAAGCTGGCAGCCGAGTACGACGCAAAGTACGAAAAGACCATCCTGCAGCTCGAAAAGGAGATTCGCAAGCGCAAGGACTTTATCGGCGCAGACTGGGTAGTTGATGACGATGATGATGACAGCGAGAGCGAGAGCGCAATACAACCGACGGCGGCGAATGGTCGGTCTGTGAGACTTCTTGATTACGCTTGTGGAACTGGCTTGATATCGAGGGTGAGTTTTTATTTGTCTTTCTTTCCCTGTCATATTTTCTACTTCTGAGGACGATACGATTATGTTACAACCGTCTGTCACCTTTGACATGTTTTCGGATAGCATATCGCCTCCCTCGAGCAAGTACTCGAGAGAGCGTGGATGAGATCTTCTCTCGTCCGTCACGTAAGTTTGTTTGCTCTTGTTTCAGATGTCGTGTACAACATGTTCGTGTTACTTGTTTTTCTTGTCATTTACACATTCTTTGTACGCTTCCTTTTTCATTCTTCCTCCTTTGAGGGGTCTAGCACACTTTCACATGGGGAAAAGGAGATCCGGGCTGTAGACTTATACTTGGGACAAAGTTGACTGACACCAAAAAATAACGACAGGCCCTCGCGCAGTTCACGACGCATTGCGTCGGCATAGACATTTCGGAAAACATGGTGGCGGCCTACAACGCCCGGGCCGAGAACCAGGTACGTTGGAAAGCTGGTACTGATTTTATTTCGTTCGAGGTCGAGGCAGTCAGAACAAGGCGAGAGAGAGATGAGTCCAAAATAGCTCGGTTTCCCCATTCAGACTTCCAGTTGTCGTTCTCTACATACACACCTACTTCTCCTTTTCTTCACCTCCCCTTTGACCAGATATTTCTGCCCACACGCGACGTACAGACCGGGCATCCAAGTGGAAGGTGACAAGAGAGAGAGAGAGAGAGAGAGAGAGAGAGAGAGATATATGGGAGGGCGGAGGGAGAGTTTCGAAAGGAAAGGTGTACACGCACACCAGACACCAGACGCAAAAAATAAAAAAGACGAGACCATGCGGCCAGCCGCTCCTGGACTTGGCTCGACTCCAGACAAGAGCAAGAAAAAGACCGGATCGTTCGCCACACGCGGATACCTGCTCACGGACTCGTTTCGGCAAAGAAGAGAGAGCACAGACAATCTTCTGGGGAAGTGGAAAGGAAGAGGCTTGTCGTGGCGGAGTGTAGAGCAGGGAGGGAAGGGAAAGAAAGTCAAAACCCTCGTCTGAGCGTTTCCGTCGTCGTCGTCGTCGTCGTCGTCCACGATGAATGACGGACGGGTACGTTCTCTCCACGAGTCACTTTTCTTTCTTGCTCTTCCCTCTCACACACCTCATGTTGGTCTCATCTCAGCCCTGCTGACCTTCAGACCTTTTCGAACCCCGCCATGACATGACGTGGACATTTGCCAGGAAAACTCTCGCACTCACTTTTTGCGATTTTCGATTCGCCCCCCCCCCCCCCACTCCCTCTCTAATTGGACAGCCTTAGATCTCTCTCTCACCTCACCCTACCCACCCCTCCCCGGATCTCACAAGAATCTCATCTCATCCCATCTTTTTGATGACAGAGTTGCCGTCTCGGGCGAGCACACCCGCACTTCTATCCTCCCTTCCCCTCTCTCATCTTCCTCCGAGTGCTCGGCCGTAGACCGAACAAGCCTGTGCGGGCTCGGGTTTGTGCGGGCGTCCCGGCGCACGGGGAAGATATTGCGTGACCATCCAAAAAGCCCCTGCGCAAAGTTGCCGCAAAAAGTACATGAGACATGAGACACGGAGAGAACGATGACATGAAAGAGAAAAGACGAAAAGAGGGGGCAAAGAAAAAATCGCGGATAGAAGCGGCAAGCTTCAGCTGACCCCGATGAACTGACATAACCACCCACCACCCTCCAGGGCCTCACCACCGACGAAATGCACGCCTACCAAGGCAACCTCACGGACCCGGCCGATCCGTCTCCCGCGGCTTTCGCTTCCGACGACGGCCGCTTCCGCGACTTTGACGTTGCCGGCGTCGGTCTCGGGTTCCACCACTTCGAGGACCCGGAGCTCTCGGCCCGCCGGCTGGTCGAGCGGCTGCGTCCGGGCGGCGTGTTCATCATTCTCGATTTCCTGCCGCACGAGAAGATGGACCACGCGTTGCCTGCTGCGCATACTGTTATGCATCACGGGTTTTCGGAGGAGAGGATGAGAGCCATCTTTGAGCAGGCTGGGGCGGGAGAGGGGTTTAGGATGGAGGAGCTTGGGAGTGGTGTTGTTTTTGGGGGACATGGGCATGGGCATGGACACGATCATGGGCACGGGCACGAGGGGCATGGTCATGGAGAGGAAAAGGGACATGACCATGGGCATGGCTCGGGGCAGGGGATGAAGAGGCGCGTGTTTCTGGCGCGGGGAACCAAGGCCTAGACATATCAACGAGCTCGAGATGTCATGAAAGTTGTATATTTGAACTCAGGCTTGAACCTTCTTAGTTGACGACGAGCGGAACATGCTTGAAAAAGACCATGCCTCCAGTCTACCTAGACCACCGCGGCCCGCTATTCCTTATCAATGATATCAACAGCAAAAGCACCTCCAAGCAGAATGGCAGGTTCCTCGATGCTGTGGTGCTCGTAACTAAGGTGGTTTCCCAACGTCAGTCTTGGCTAGCTCAACATAGGGATACAACCTTTTGTTATACTCGAGAACTCACCTCAGAGTACCGACACCCCCAGCCTCGAGCAGAAAGGCCGGCCCGTCCTGCAAAGTCTTGCCGGCCCAGCGCATGGCAAAGGCGCGGAGGATGTGGCCGTGGGCAACGACGAGGACGTCCCCGTTGGGCGCGTCCTTGTTGCCGATGACGGGGCTGTGCCACCTGTCGCGGATGTCTTTGATCAGGCGGTCCAGACGTTCCGTCACGTCTTGGGGGCTCCTGCGTAGCAGAGATTAGCTCGGGATGTCTCAGTGTTGAAATTCCACGTTGGCTATTTATGAGATTGTACATCACGTCGTTGACTTATAACCGGTTCCTCGAAGCGGCACTTATCCACCGGTTCTGACCACGTCGATAGCTAGGTCACCGACGATGCGTGTCCTGGGAAACCGTACGACTTGACAAGGCATGGAATGGAAGAAAGTACGTCTGGGGTGGGAGAGAAAAGACTTACTCGCCGCCGGGGCAGCCGTCGCGCCAAATGTCCCAGTTCTCAGAAAGATCCTGCTCCTTGCGGAAGCGGCGGATCTCCGGCGACGTGATGCCCTCGTAGTCGCCGTAGTCCCATTCGCGAATGTCCTCGGTGACCTCGACGCAGGCGTTGCAGTGCGGGCCGTTGCCCTCGATCTCGCCGTGTTCCTTCCAGGGGAGGTTGTCGTTGATGCCGAGGTTTAGCAGTTCAAAGGTGCGCTGGGCGCGTTTGCGAGGGGAGACGTAGCTGATCTGATTTTAGCATAGCCCATGGCCAAGGGGATTTACATAGAGATGGAGGGTGAGTGCTAGTTGACATCATTTGATGGACCTGGATCGTCAAAGTTGTGTTTGAGAGCAGGTCTGAATGCTTGAGACGGAAGTCCTGATCACCCCCCTCACGTGGCTTGACAATTACACGCAACTCACATGTGAGAGATTCGTTTGGGCACAATGAGGCGATCACTCCCAACCAGGGCGCGGCCGGTAGCGCGCACACGCTTCTCGCCATTAGCAGTGAGCGGGATATCGGTGCTGCCGGTATGCCGGCCGTTTAGTGACCATTCCGTCTCGCCGTGGCGGATGACAAAGGCACGGGGAGTCGTCATGGCGGCGGGTGCTACGAAACCGTCTCGCGGAAGCCGACTTGACAGCGGATGTAATCTCGGATTGGGGATGGGTGGGAAATGTTATGCGATCTCTACCGATGTCTAAGTGTTCTTCGGGGTCTAATGGAGGGCGGCGCAGGGACGCCCCCGAGTCAGCTTTTGATCCTGTCACACACAGCAGCAGCAGCGAGATCTTGACGTGTGTATGTGCTTGTGACGTTTAATGCATGAAGAGGGCCCGGAACCTGGAATGGTGGGATGTAAATGAGAGGAAGTTGAGACGGATGGACTTGACGTGACGTTTCTGGGTTTTTCCAAATTTGGCTTTCCAGCCGTCCCGCTCTTCCCGTCTTCGCATCCCATTCTCAGCTCTGCGCATAGCCTTTTGAGATATCGTGTAAATCGTAACGGCGCTTGCCATAATCCTTGACACAGTTCATCAATGGTTTGTTTTCTGCAAGTGCCAACTTTGGCCCATGAGTCCACAGCCCAGGCCAAGATCCAACGAAATCTGCCAAATCAAGCCAAGGCTGTGCGGGGGCGGCAGTGCTGAGTCTCTTGTTCAAAGTCTTTGTCGTATCGTGTGTCCGATGTTCTGATCTCCCCGACAATGACAAGCGAGAAGACAAGCATTTTGCCCCCTCTTACTGGCCCCTGTATCGCATCTTTTCCTAGCCCCAGCCTCGGCCATCGCAACGGTAGCACTTCGTCGCTTCTCGCGTGCACTTGCCGCAGGCTGCGTCCCATCTCCACCCGTCGTCATCCGGCTTTGTGACATCTGTCTGGTTTTATGCGGTCCAGGATAGGTCAGAATGGGGGATGGGTGGAAAATGTGAGAAAGGCTTTTTGGGCTTGTAGTGTAGCAGAGAGGGAGATCCTCCGTAGTAGTGCGCCATGAGAAAGGTTTCAGCAAGGGCTGTAACGAGCAGGGGGGCGCACCAGAACCCCACACGGGCAAGAACTACCTGGTCGTGATCATTTGCTCAAAAGTGAATGTTGCGGCGACTTTCCGTTGCTCGACGGGGAGAGAATAGGCGAGAAACGAGGCAGGGGATTCGATAAGGGTCGTGGCGAATGTGAGGTCAGAAGACCCGAGGAAAGGAGGATGGACGCTGCTCTGGTGTAGGGATGAATGGTGAGGGGAAGGAGAAGAGGAGGGAGAAAGAGAGATGCTCTCACGAAGTTTGTTTCAACGCACCAGTAGAAGTGGGAATGAATAAGCCCATTTGAGGATGCCCTGGGCAGCGGAAAAAAAAGGTAGTTGGGGGTCCTGGGTGGTTCTTACTCGACGTCTCATATCTCTTAACCCTTCTTGCTCGCTTCGGAAGTTCGTAATGGCGCAATCGACAAAAAGGTCAATGTCTCCCACACACTCTTTGCTCGTTTGAATGCCTTTTTGGTTATTTGGCAACTCTTCTCTCTATCTCGAGGGTTGCACGAACTCGCCTCTTATGAGTCTTTTTTTCCTTCCCTCTTAACCTGATTGAATTACCCGCTCAACATCAGTAATGACCCGAAGCGACGACGTCACGCCAACCCCGGCTCTGACAGGACGATTACTAAGAGCGCTGGGGCTCCCGTCGTCTCCTCTTCTTCCTCGGCGCCAACGTCTACAGCGGGGCCTCCTCCGCCGCGGCGTTTCCACTCCCGGCTGGACTGCCACCGAGACTACCGACGACACCGACACCACCGACGCGAACGCGCTGGAGCTCATCGCTTGGCCGTACTCTACTGCGCCCGGCGCCCCCGCTACACACCCGTCAACGCCGACATTGAAGACGACGACTACAACCGATTGCTGTTCTCCTTGTTGCGATTGCGAGTACGATCCCTTTGGGACAACGACCCGCCGGCGGCATTCTCCATCAACGCCGCTCGAGAGACCACAAGGCCACAGGCGAGCTAACTCTCTCGACTCGACGACCACCACTTCTTCGAACGATTCTTCCTCTTCATCTTTCTCGTCGGCATCTTCGCGCTCCCGTTGGAATCCCTTCTCTCCCGCGACCGACGAATTGACCACCGTGAACCGACGATTCAACGGCGTGGATGATAAGAGGAGTAAAAAATCGAGAGAAGTCTGGAGGGAGTATTGGTGAGGCACCTTTGCAGACCCAGCAACAAAGAACCAAAATTTCGACATACAAGAGGGGGATAGACATCAAAAGCAAAGACTGGGCAAATATGAGTGGCTTCACAAAATTTCGCGCTGGCCTCACTGCCGCCGGCTGCGCTGCCATCATCTTCACAGGCGCCACTTATGGCGCAGGCTTGAAGACACAGAAGGAATGGAAAGAGGTAAGGAAGCATATCTAATAGGGGAAACCGCGCGACGAAAAACTAATGAAGTTCTTCCTCGTCAGGAACGACAAAGCTTCTGGGAGTCTCCATACGATGAGCAAATTTCTCTCCTGCAGGGCCAGCGTGGCCGGTTAGTCACAGAGCGCCGCAAGTGGGAAAAAAAGCTCGAGTTTCTGGATGAGAGGATAAAAGAGGGAGAGGCCAAGAAGCCGGAAAGCTAACCACGGACGCCGTCAAAAGTCTAACATGGTGATGTTCGGTTATGGCCAACAAGAGTTCGGCTTCAAGCAGTAGGCACATCCAAGCAGGATAAAGGATGCTGCTTCAAAAGGATCCGCGTGGTTCGAGGCAGAAGACCACGATCGGCGGCGGCGCAAAAGCGACCAGCCCACGCGTAGGGCCCTGATGAGCTCCATGTGTAATTTTGTACAATCAGGTCGATCAAAGGCCATTCGCAAGATGTACACAAATATTAGGAATAATTGTAGCGATCACCACTTTGCGTAATGAACAGCATCCATTACATTCATCAATCCGTCTATCTATGCCCTAAAGTGATTTATCCCTTTGTCACCGGCTCGTTTTGCATGCCTCCCATAACCTCGTTATCGCTCGAAAACGCCAAGTCGATGCCCTTCAAGAGCTTTGAGCAGCTGGATTTTCCTACTCGGTCTTGCCTTCATTATCAATCGTCGGAAGAGGGATGGCCCGGTAGAGACAGATGAGGGCAGAGTGCGACTCGCCGCCACCCGCCAACGCATCGATCTTGTCAGGGGTCACCTCGGACACCTTGTCGTCATTGAACCACCACCAGTTGCCGTCCTCCTCACCCTTCTTACCGGTCTTGGGGTCGACGGGGGCAGTCTTCTTGACATAGGCAGTGTAGTGACCGCTGTCGGCACTTGCTCCCTGATGAGTGACGACGCCACGCAGCTCGTAAATTCCGGACTGGTTGGCGCCTTCGTCCTTGGCCAGGTCCTGGTTGACCAGAGCATAGAGCTCCTTCTTGGCAGCAGTGAGAGCCGCATCCTTCTCGGCTTCGACCTCGGCGTCTGTCTTGAAAGTCTCGGTCATCCCTGTGTCGCCATCAGAAGTGCTGGCCACGGGCTTTCCAGCTCTCTCGGCCTTCTTGTCGTTGGCCTTCTCCAGCGCGGTCTTGCCCTCGGGACCTCCAGATGCCCCAGCAACATCACCTCGGTCGACAGGGTTGATCTTGCGTCTCTTGCGGGCCCGCTCAATATCCTCTTCGTCCTTGCGAATCTCGCGAACCTTGTCGCGCACAGGAATAAGAGCCTTTTTCAGCTCATCGGTGCAGAACTCAACAACGTCAAGTTCGTGGGGGAAAGTGACCTTGCGCATAATCTTGGCCTTCTTCTGCACCTCTCGCTTCCAGAAGAATCGCACAAAGTGGACCGTAAGATATTTGGGAAGCCGTGAAATCTGCGACTTCTTCGTGTAGGTCGTGTCTCTATCCAGAACGGAAGACTTCTTCTCCAACTTCTCGGTCAAAGCAGCCATGATACCGTCGCGAAGGTGATTGATCGAGGCATCAATGTGGCAGTTGAGCTTGAGGAAAGATTCGCTTGACTTGACAGGCTCCTCTCCACCGTCCCTGGCAGCCTGCTCATCGGCCTCGAGAGTTGACTGAAGCTCTCCAGCCATGTACCTGTCAATAAACGAAGAACCCTCAGACTCGGAGAGCTTCTGCTTCAACTGGGAAATGATCTGAGACCAGGCCTCCTCGGCATCCTGCTGGGCATATCCGGCTCCAGTCTTGGACTTCTCGGCGAATTGGGGGTACACCATGCGGAGCGTGCTCAGGAAAGTCAGCGGGGGAATGGCACCCTGTGTTTCCGACATGTTCTTGTAGAGATCGGTAAGTTGAGTAGCGATGTCGGTTGAAGTGAGGCCAAAGCTGCTACCGGCACCACCGCTACCGGACTTGTGCGTGGTCAGGGCCGTCTGGAGTTCAGGGATCGATCGGAGGGTCTGGAGGGTCGAGTTCAGGTAGCAGGTGTTGCCCAGGTTGGTGAGGCCGGCGGGAGTGGCTCCTTCCTGCTGGGCTGCTTCGGCTTCGGTCATGTCCTCGACAAACTTGACTGCCTCCTTGGGTCGAGCGAGATCTGCGTTCTCGCCGGAAGGCTTGCCCATCATCATCAGTGTGGCGCCGGCCTTGAGGCCGAACTTGGCCATATCATCGTCATCCTTGACTTGCTTGCCCTTGACGAGAATCTTTTGTCGCTCGGGTTCAACGCCAGTCAGACTGTAGAGCTGGTACTTGAAGGTTTCACCATTGGACGAGGTATCGATCTCGACTTGGTACTTTGTGCCTTGGTGGCTTACGGTGACTGTTTGACCAGTTAGACAATAGCAGGCAACGCATTGATTGACTAATGCTGCTTACCAGGTATTGACGCCATCGTTGTTTCTGTGGTTGAGGTCGGCCTTGCTGCAAAGTTCTGGAGTAGCTGACTTTTGCAGTGTGTCGGGGGTAAAACCTCGTTGCGAAACGGACTGTTGAAGGACAAGTTTGTTGAAGGCACCAGGCGGGTTGCGTCAGTACCTACCAAGCATGGAACCTTGAGGTGGGCGGGCAGTAAGGGAGGCAAGGTAGTACAAAGGACCACACGGCAAGATAGCGGGGAAGCGGTGTACCTGCAGGGTCCGTTTCAGCTGCCGATTCGCTTATGGCAATATGCCCTTGTCCCTATGACTTCCGCATGCATTCGACAGTCTTCCAGCATCTTCGGGGAGAGGAGTCCTGAGAGAACCTGTCAAGTTCATAGCATAAACACCCTGCACTCCGATGCAGAACAGTTGAATAGGAATACATCACATAGTCTATCGTGGAGCGAAAATGAAGCATGCCTGGTCCCGGGTCGATCATAATTCGGCCTTCAAGCTGCTTAAGTGTGTATACCGTAATATGCATGTAGAGGAAACAAGCGGGGGATCGCCACTAAGGAAAGAGCTCTAAGATCACGTGAGACAGCTTCCGGCTGAATCAGCGAAGTGCGGTGACAGCTACGCATGATGTGGAGCTAAGGTACGGCGGTGCTACCAGCCCCACTACGAAACGTCAGGCTTCCGGCTGAGCCAACCTCACGAGCCCCGCGGTCAACATTCAACTCCAACCTGTCAGCATCACCAAAGGTTGGACGCGGCCACGTCTCGCCATCATGGTTAGTGAATTCTTGTGTTTGGAAGAGCTGTGCCTTTGCTAATGACCGCAAATGTAGTCTCAATCACTGCGACCCTATCTCCAGGCCGTCCGGAGCAGTCTGACGTCCGCCCTGACGCTCTCCAACTTCGCTTCCCAAACTGCCGAACGTCACAATGTCCCTGAGATCGAGGCTCAAACATCGCCCGAAGTCCTCCTAACGCCCCTCACGATTGCCCGAAACGAAAACGAGCGAGTTTTGATCGAACCGAGTATCAATTCCGTGCGGATATCCATCAAGATCAAGCAGGCCGACGAGATCGAGCACATCCTCGTCCATAAGTTCACTCGTTTCCTGACGCAGAGAGCCGAGTCATTTTTCATATTGAGAAGGAAGCCAATCAAGGTACGGGATACACATCACGAAAGCGTTCAGCGGAGCTTCCACGGGCTGCAATGCCACGTGGCTTGCAACTGACAATGCAAACGACGAAACTGACCTATTATCGTACTAGGGATACGACATTTCATTCTTGATTACGAACTTCCACACTGAGGAGATGCTGAAGCATAAGCTGGTCGACTTTATCATCCAATTCATGGAGGAGGTTGATAAGGAGATTTCGGAAATGAAGCTCTTCGTATGTCTCCTCACTCTCGATCCATCTGCCATGGCAGTTTCTAACAGCATACAGTTGAACGCGAGAGCCAGATTTGTTGCCGAATCTTTCCTGACTCCCGTAAGTCATGCTCGCCATTGCAGTGTCAACCGGACACAACTGATGTCCCCTTTAGTTCGATTAAAATACCCTACAACAAGCGTCTCACACGCTAGGAGCTCAACTCCAAATCCGCACAGCCAGAATCGTGTAGTTGGAACGAGGATCTCGCGCCATGTTGAAGCCATGGATCAAAATCATGAGTTGGAGTTGGATGTTGGCTCGAGCGCTCCCGGAAGACCGGGATCCACTATGGTTCCAACCTTGATATTGGTCCGCAAATCCGGGGCCGAGTGGGAACGGCGACATGGAGCCTCCATTTTGATAAACAATTACCGTTATGAACACAACTCTCCCCCCCTCACGTGTTGCATATCGGTGCTGTGTGCACCGAATAACTCTTCTACTCTGCTTACCTTACGAGAGTGTTGAGAAAGTCGGGACGTCCATTCAACCGTTGCGAGATGTAGTGTTACGTTGTCGGATACAACGAAGCCGAATCCAATCTGGAGCGGATGACAGCTGGCAATTGACCTTCAATGCGGAACTAATTTTTGCCATCAGGAAGACCCGACGTTGCCCTGCTCATCATTGTCGCTCCTATGTGATCAAGGTGATGCTGGTCGTTGAGTATAGATTGAATCAGTGGTCCTCTCCCCTGGAGATCCGCATAGCACTTTATACCATTTCATCATAACAATCGTTTTCGCGCATTCAGGCAACCCAGCCTTGCCAGTGTCGCCGTCCCGACTTGCTATGCAACCATCGACCTGATATTCACCTCCACCCCACCAGGCTACGATGGAATACACAACCACCTATTCATCCTGCTGCCTCCTGGGCGTCCTTCTATGCCCTAAATCAAAGGCCTCTTCTTCCTTCACATCCTCCTCTCTCCTCCCATGCTTCTCTCCACCTCGAGTTAAATTTCTTTCCTCTCCTACCACCCACCTCATACACTCAATCAACAATTCATTTCCACTCCATCACAACAATCAATCCGGGTCTCAAGTGCGATATCGTGTTCGAGACTCTACACAGCCTGCAGGCCTGCCGTTTCATCGACCTACGGGCATCGTCGATACAACTGAAAATACCCTCAATTCTCAGCTCTGACTTTTTCAGGCTCACGATACTCGTTCGGCCTCTGGTAAGCCTCCTCTTTCTTTGTTGGCTCTCGACCTTCTTCTCGCTGCGACTCTCATTTTCGGAAGCAACGGCCTGGCATCAATGAGTCTTTTTCACCTTTTTTTGGTTGTGTATCGCCTCACCTTCCCCTCATCCTCCCTCCTTCCGTCCCTTCAGGCTTGCTTGAGAGTGAGGTTATTATTTTCCCATTCCACCACCCAACCCTGATCCCTTTCACCTTTCCACATCTTTCTTTCTGACAACTTTCCATCAACAGATTCCCGTCAGTCACTGTACGGTGATTTCCAACTGCTTTCTTGGGCCGGTCTGCCTTCCAGCAGTAACAGTGAGTTGTTTCCTCCTCTGCATATCCAGCGCATTCCATCATCTCTCAAATCTTTTCTCGTACTTTTTCTTTGGTGATGAGATTCCTTCTGGTCTTTTCTGTGTGTTCCTGAGTGCTCGATTGATCCCGAAGAAGCGACGGAGGCTTGCTCAGATGGAAACGCCCACGCTGTTTCGGAATCCTTGAGAAGTCGCTCTCATCATCGATGAGAAAGACTCACTCGCTTTGCTTCTGCCATTTTCTCTCAGCTTATCAAGTTTACTAGACTTAGTTCTGCATTCCCTACCTTGCGTTTACCACCTCAGTCTCTTCACCTCTTGTGCTCCCGCCTCTTCAAGTCACTTGCTCTTGCCTTGTCTCTCACCCCTGGGGGTCACACTCGCATCTTTTCATACTTTTGCCTGGCGTTGATTCTCAACGTTCCTCACATTGACTGCTCAGTCACTAATCGCGTACTTCTAGAGCACTTACTGTTATCACACACATTCGCCACATCCACTGCCACCAGCATCCCTCACTAACATCATTCTTGTTCTTCCTATTCTCAACAAGGATTACGCCTAGGTGTTGCACATCATGGTCTACTCTCAGGTACCTGGTATGAAGGGCAAGGTGGGACAGCAGCAGCGGCGAGTACGTAACAGCGTCCTCCAGTTCGCGTTCAGGCCTCGTGTCGTGCCGGAGACTGTCGTTGAGACGGAGGCTGGCATGGAGAATGGCGACTACGACAGTGCGCCTGGTGGTGCCCGCCTCGACACTGAACCTCTTGGTCGTAACCAGCAGGGCCAGCATTACATCTTAGCTGGCTCCAGCCTCAACCCCTCTTCCTCGCCTTGGGTACCCAACTCCTCTCAGGCTCAACAGACCCCTAGCAAGGTATATATATCCAACGTCTCGAAACTCTCTCATCAGCCATATTTCAGTCTAACACTCGCACCCAGATTGATCAGCCCGAGATCGCTGAGCTCGACGGTACTCCTCAGTATATTGGCGTCAACGGCAAGATCCAGGATCGTTCATTGATCCCCGCTCAAAACTTTGGATCTAGCTCGAACGGTGCAGTTTTTTACTCGGGTGGACCTGTCAGAAATAGTCATCTCGTTGCTCTCCCGAAGATGGTCAGCCAGGCGAACCACGGCCAGCTCACCGGCAGCTCATCCATGGGTAATTTGGGCATCCAGACTCCTGTCCGCCAGGACGTTGGTGGTTTGCTCCACAACCATGGCGATAAGGAAGTCATCGATCTGACTGGTGATGACATCAGTTCCGGCAGCGATACCCCCAAGGCTAAGGGTGTCGGTAACAGCTGTCTCATGACGGAGCCGCGCAACTTCGCTCCACGTACCATGAACCACCTTGGAGCGCCTCCCAAGTTCAACTTGACCAGTGTGAACGATGGCACCAATAACCCTGTTCCGGATACTCAGGATCCTTTCGTGTCTTCGGCTTTGCAACTTGACACTATTCAGCCGCATATGCCTATGTTTGGCTCGCAGATTGACACTACCCACTTGCTTGCGACTGGTCAGATGCCTTTCCCTGCCGCAACAGGCGACACTCTGCACTTCGACAATCTCCCTCGCGATGACGCTGAGCCGTCAATCCAGAACGATATCATCAGTCAGGCTTATCAGCCCGATTCGACCAACGGAGCACATGCTACCAACGTCCAGAACATGCCTGCCCGGCCGGTGGGGTTGTCCCTGCGGCAGCCTCCTCAGGCTCTGCCTCTTGCTGGAAACTGTGCGGCAATCGTTCCCTATCAGGCTCCTCACCAGGCCCCTTATCAGGATACTTTCCAGAGTGGCTACCAGCTCCAGGAAGCTGTCGCGACTTATGGCGATGCTGTTCCTGACTACATCCGGGCTCAGCGATCGACGCAGCTGAACCGCCTCACCGGCGGTCCCATGGGTCGACCTACCGCGAATGAGGCTATGCATCAAGTGAACTTCCCGTTCGTTGAGCCTCCCCCCCGTGCTTCCCACTTCATGGTTCGCGGCGTCATCAAGATTGGCAACGTTTGTTCACCTAATGTCCTACTCATCGTTGTCCCAGGCACTAATACATGACCAGATTCCTTTCGTCACCAACCGCTCCGAGATCATTGCGATCCTGGGTCGCAACTCCCGTATGCTCAATGACACTGATGAGCCGGTTCACATCATCATGGAACGTGTCACTGGCAAGACCACTGACGCCTACGTCGAGTTCCACACCCTGGAGGATGCTTCCAAGGCTGTTGAGAAGCATCATCAGAACCTCGACCGTGGTCGAGTCACTCGCATTGGCCAGCGCCCTGTCGAGATTGAGCTTTCTAGCCAGGCTGCTCTCATGAAGGATCTGTTCCCTAACGCCAGGGGTGTGTTCTGGGCCGGTCTTCACCCCCACATCCTTCCTGACAACGACCAGGAGCCTTGGGACAACTTCAAGGGCTTCGTGTCCAACGAAGAGATGACCATGCTGGTCAAGCATGTCGAGGTTCCCCACCGTGTAAGTCTCTTCAGCTTCTTGTGCTCTTGAGCCTATGGCTAACTATTTTGCAGTCTCCCTTCTCGAAGGAATGCCCGCAGCGTCCGTTCGAGTGCCTCATCAGCACCCTGACCAAGTTCCCTTGGCAGATGAAGAGTAACGTCACTGTTCAGCAGCGTCATGCCATGTACAAGGCCACCTGCGATCTCCTCCGCATCCTCGTGGGTCACATTCGCGACAAGCGTGACGAGGTCAACCTTACTCATCGTCTGTGCAAGCGAGTCGTCGCCGCGGCGATGCGCTGCGAGGGCTTCTCGATTACCCAGAAGGACGATATTGCCTTCATTGTCAACATGAGTGAGATGGAGCAGCGTTCCTTTGGCCAGCCGCGCTTTGCTGAGAGCTGGCGCCACCTCTACGTCTTAGTCCCCAAGAATGGCGTCCCCTTGGATGTCATCGAGGTAAGTCATATTCCTATTCCGTTTGTCTTTCCATTGGAGTGATGGTATGAAGATAGAAATGTTTTAGGCTAATCAGACATCTTTCGCAGTGGTACATTGCTGTCATCCGCGAGGAGACTACTCGCTACCTGGAGATGCAGTCGTTCCAGGAAAAGTGTCAGACGTGCACCATCGGAGAGGCCACTGATGGCTACTTTGGCTTCTTCTGGCGCGAGCTGAACCTTCGTGTTGGACCTGAATTCGACCACATGACTCTTGCAACTCTTGCCATGCACGAGTACCAGACGCTCGAGACGATCATCCGCCGCGCCCTGACTCCTTCTATCGGTCACTAATGTCGAGTTACAACAGACCTGGGAAACAAGGCGAGGCCAGAATGGGGTGCTCAGATGGCTTCAACTGATGGAAGTTCGCACAATGCTTCGGAACTTCTCCTTTTAGCTCTGCGTATCTGCACTTTCACGTTGATGGCACTTGGCTTGAAGGGGTGACCTTTTTTCTTCTCATGGTTTTGCATC